ATAAAATGTATAAGTCAACTAATAAGCAGACGCCTTGCAAAAAGTTAATGAAGATCATGTGTCAAATGAAATGTATAAGCGGTCACACATACCTTTTATGCATTCTTATAGGACCTATGTAGTTTGTATAAAAATGTATAAGGCTGATGTTTTGGCAAATATAAAAATGGCAAATGGATAAGTGAAACACATTTTAAAAATGATTGATTTTCGTTTCGTGGTAAAAGTAAAGGTATTAATTTCATCAAAACTTCAAGCAGATTTTTGCTATACAAAAGATAACTGATAACTGTTAGCTAATATAAAAACGGAAATTAGCAGAAATCGAATCATCTATAGTATGCTTTTCTAACAAGGCTATTCAGAGCCTTCAAGTTAAGCCATTGAGCTACAAAAGTCAGAACCTATTATTCCAGTCAATTCACTTTTTCATTGCACGCATCAATTTCGCAATGAACTTCTTCGTTTGTAAACACCTGTTTGTTTAGCTCTGTAGTCCACATTCCATAAATAGAGTTCTCAACCCACGGTAGCATTTCTGGCGCATCCCAATGGGAGCATCCATTAATTACGTCACGCTCTGAAGAGGGAGGGTGTTAACAAATGAGTGACGAGCAATGTATTAGGTATAGGTCACTATAGTCACTATATTCGTAGTCTGGCGTATAGAATCTCGGGAACCAATTGAGCTGTCAAATAGCGGAACCAATCGAGCAAATCACGACCAACAAAAGAAAAGATTACATCAGCTATTGCGAACAAAACTTCGGAAACCCCTTTGTCGTGACTCAAGGCTCGCCTACGCAAACTAACAGCATATTTGAGTTGGGGAAAGTTTTCTCTATCCGATGATGCCGGTAATTTGCGTTCGATTGGCGAGGAAAGAATATCCAACGTTTTGTTTATAAAAGCTGATAGTACCTTTTCAATTGTTGGTCTACAATATATTGAATTGATTTCGCTTTTTGATAGATCGAAATTCTATCCGCCAGACTATAAATATAGCGGCTATAGGAAAAACGATGAGGGAGGATGATTTTCCCTAAATTTCACGTGACGTATTTAATGCTTGCTCCCAAATTAGCATCGAAGCCACCAACGCACTAGCCAATGAGGATAAAACGGTTGAAAAAGTCGGTGAGTTTTTTCCACCCGCTACCTGATAAACAGACGAAATTAATCTACCTACAGTGAGATCTCGTCATTTCTAGCTATTTTGTGTTCTGGGAAACCGGACCCATATCGGACCCATATCTGCAGAAGCATACGTTCTGCAGGCATAATTTAAGAATTTACAAGTGTGTCCCATACCTATTCTTGTAAGAAAAGTAGAATCATGTCAAACGCTACTCTTTCACGTACACAAGTGGAATGCCATTCATACCGGGAGCATTGGTTGGGAGCAATGGGAGAAAAACACGGGGAGCTTACATTGTACCACAATACTGACGCGTAGGCGGTGGTTGATATACGGTATGACCGAAACTTCACGGCAGAACGAACGAGCTACGGTTGAATTATTTACAGCCTCAGAACCACACAGGCTCCGTGTACAAGCTATGGAGGGTTGATAGGGTGATCAATGTTACTTATGGGGATGATTTTGTTGGGGCCAAGTGTTTATTGATTCACGTCAGACCAGTTCCAAGAAATGACGGATACCACATGCAATTTCAATTTGGAACACCAAAGTCAATAACAAATTGTATTCCAATTACCGGTGGTAGCGGATACCGATAAATATACGTGATCTCACTCAGCATAACCCCTTGTTATAGAAACTCATAGTTAGTATTAGTATTGCTTAATAGTCCTGCCGATAAGAATCTGACCTGCGAGCAAAGCGTCAGCCGTATTTTAGAGGGGAAGTATTATAATCGTGGTAGCCATAATAATGCAAATTAAATATTTATTCTTGCCATCGATGGTCGATTGTGATCATTAAGTATCGATACGATTGTGATTGATAGGGTGGGTTGCCATACAAGTTTATCGCTATAAAGCAGTGGTTGCCAATGTAACTGATTTTACATCGGCAGGTATATTACTCAGATAGTCTAGCCTAGAAATCGTTCGGTTCATCCGATGGCGTCATATCGTGAAGAACACACGAAAAATTTATACTGACTTGGTTAGCGTCTTGCCTCGTTTAACAGATCTGATCGCCCGTTTGACAGAACGAATCGCTCATTTGCCAAATCGAATTGTGGACAAACGAAATGCTCCAGTGGCTTTCCACATAAAATTCATGCATTGGTTGGCATAGAAAGCTCTCAATTAATAACTGTGGCAGTGCATTCAGAACACTAAGTTGAGAGCTGGCAAAGTGCTCGTAAAAAGCCTAGAAGATTAAGAAGAAGGTCTATTACTATGAGTGTCTATAACCTACATTAACTGCAACGCAGTTTATTCCCACATATCACCCCCTCGTCGTGCCATTCGCTTTCGTGTCGCTTTGCATTGAGGAAAAACTGACAGCTATGCTCAACGGGTCGTTGTATACTCTTTATAGTCGCCAGTATGTCTGAATAAATGTTTGATTTAATTATCACGCCTTTCCTGTCGTTCGCAAGATGCTTCCCAACAACAACTACTGCAAGGAACATTGATACAAAAGCATCACCAGTCCTTCATGCTCCGGTAGGTTGGCCTAATAGGGTGGTTCAAATTATCGATTTTTCTCCACCAAGCTCAATCGATTCTAAATCACTCACTTGAGCTAATTTGGTTGTGGTCTCATACTGCACTCAGAGGTGTAAACGATGATTGCTTTTCACTACATTCGCTTCGTTGTCGTGGGATATAGTCTTTTTATGTTCGTAGTACACTCATGCTCTACCGTCACCTCTCTCACACAGTACGAGCGGTAGAACAACATTCGCGTAAAAAGAAAAATGTCAAATAGCTATCATAATTCATCCAAGGGGGGGAGGTGGCTGTCAAATACGAACAATCGTCGCCTACCTCGCATGCCTCGCATAACTGGTTCCAAACGTAAACAAGCCATAAGAAACCTACAGCGATTGTTTACGTTTGGAGCCAGTTTCATACAAGAATGATCAGTAGGCTGATTTGACAGCACGTCCCCCCACAGAATTCATCAGCGTCATTTCGTTCTAATTCTTCTAAAAGTTGAACACGAAAAAATCCGGTCACATTAACGCATTAACGCTGCCATGAAAGCAATTTTTGAGTAAAATTTATCAAAATTTCACTGAATCAAGCTAAGAGAGTATAGAATCACAGTAGGCATTGCTTGTCAGGAAAAGTTCATTTGTTTACATCATGGCCGGAACAAGCACGTCGCTATTCGATCCTGCACACTCGAAACGAAAATCCCAGTTTTCGATCAAATTCCTTGACAGGAACTTTATACCTCGGTTGACCGGAAGAGTGCCCTGGAAGAATGTAAAATCAAAAAGAAGTCAAAGTTTCCCAAACAGTTCCTTGTTTGGCAAGCAAATGGCAGTGGTAACATGTAAAGCTTAACATTCTTTGACGGCACGGTCGTATGAGATCCATGTCATATGACATTTTAGTTTGGTACTGTATTTTAATAGCTTGTGTTGGGAGAGGCAGAAGGAAAGTCAAGGGATTATCACAGAAAATACGTCGACTATTGTGCTGAGCTTACACCACTGACTGCACTGACCCTTTGAAATTTATATGGACATTACTATGGAAACGTGAACTTTATAATCAACTCGTCCCAGCCGTTCACTGTAATGGTTAACGGGTAGGCTTGCAGGAAATGCTACAACTTTGCTCAAGGCGACAGTTTTCTCGAACTTCAGGAAAATGAGTTATTAATTTATTGAGCAGCTGATGATCTTCAGACATGATTAAAATAGACATTGGTGCACTTGGACTCACCATCCTTGCTACTATGTCATAGGGCAAGATGCAGTCGTTTAAAGTGGAAGTGAAAAATTCAAAATCAGTTCTATCGTTCGTAGTCAAAGACGAAAGCTTGAGTTTTGAGATTTTCGAATTACACACGAACCAGAAACTTCCATAACCGCTGGCAGCATTAACTTCGTGTCTGGCATTGGTGAAGGATACAAAGAGAGAGCAAACTATTTTGTTTCTTTCAACAAAATGTATGTGCCAAAGAATCGTTTGACTGTAGGTCACTCTTAACCTCGCTATCAGCCACAATTGTGGTGAAAAATCTCACAATACTAAGGAGCTCGTTAACTCAACATCAAATTGTCAAAATGTCTCGGGTGATTTTGAGAGCATAATAGCGAGAAAAAACATTTTGCTAAGGATCTTGTTATCACTGACGGTTAGAACTCGATTGGAGCGAAGACATGCTTTTGGAGACGTCATTTTATAAAAATAGCTTTATGTATCCGAGCTAGAACGATCGTCAGTTGCAGTGGTTTGTTGTGATGTAAGGGGCTTGATGGCCTAGTGATGACCGTTTTTGTTTACTGAGCAGAAGATCGTGGGTTTGGAATTGGAAATGGAATCGGTCCATTTCAAAAGTGATCTGTTTTCCTTTTTCAAATGGAGAGAAATGTCCCAAAGAACCACATTAAGCGCATTTTACCAATGACTCATAACTCACTAAATGAGGCCATCATGGTAGATTTTTCGCAAAAACAATTAGGTATTAAATACTTCAAATACTTTAAATGCAGTAATCCATCTATGCTTTTTGTTGATTATTCTCAAGTTATTTGCATATTTTTTCAAATTATTGTTTCGTCACTGTAAATACTAGAAAGTAAGCTTCTATCTTTTATTTCTGCTAGCTACCGCCAGTCGATGTGTTAGTAAATGTTTGTTCTCGTTTCTTCTCCCATATCTTGGATCCACCGCTCGTGTGGACTATATACTTGTGCGTTACCCGTCGTGTGCGTTATTCAACGGCATCCCGAAATTGGTAAACTCGTAAAATTGCATCACTGGTACGAACATACACGTGTTTGAACTGCACCCGTTCTCTTCCTGCACCAACTCGTAACCCACTATGACAAACCAAAATCTCTCAGATAATATTGATTTTAAAGAAAAGCTGATAGCAGCTGTGAAGAAAGAGGTGAAGCAGGTGATGGAGGAAGCTGTCACCAAGAAGTACATCCACGAGGAATCCGGCTCGGTGACTACGCTTTGCGCGGCGGTTGAGGCCTGCCTCAGTCAGGGCTTGCGGAGGCGTGCCCTTGGTTTGTTCAAAACTTCATCCACTACGGCACTGCTGCACAAAGTGGCCAAGGTGAGTTCGTGGCGTACACAAAGAGCTAATGCGTGATGAGTGCCTTTCCCAGAAACGTCTACCCATAATATCTGAAAGAATGTATTGCCACTCCCCATAGGACTGCTAGCAAACTTCCCCATCCAAAATATCTTCCAAAATACCCGTTAGAACCAGCCATAGAACCTAGTTCTACAAAATTGATTGGATTGTGAGTGATTTTCTGAACCTCTGGCAGGTACTGTTTTGTGATTTTTTGTTTTCTCGATTAGCGGTAAAAGATGTAGAAATTTCTGTTATCCTGTGTTTGTTGGCTACCGTTTCTGGAGACGCCATATAATTTTCTTTCCGTTTCGTTTTGTAGTAGAGCATTTTGGACAATCCGCTCCCAGTTCGATTGTTTTTCACATTAGAAGATTAGTGTGTTATGACGTAATTTTGGGAGAACTTCTATACGCTTTACCGAGTGAAAGCCATCTGTAGCATTTGTACATAGTACACATAACTCGTAGTACCGCGCCTAGTAAATGGTCGCAAATAACATTTCTAAACCTATTCTGTATTTGCTCACCACACAGCAGTGTCCTGAGGCAGCTGTTATCAGTAAAAAGGTCCAGGAAATTGAGAACAACGACCCCAATAAGAGGTCCTCATCCAGCAGCGATAGCACTATCAAACCGCCAATTTTGAAGAAAGGCAGCAGCCATTCGGTATCAGCAACGACATCACAATCGACGACACCTGTCGTAAAGTGAGTAGTTACTTATTTTCTGAGCAACAGTGAAGCTCTCACATTCAGAATTTCATATTACAGATACCTCTGGATCCGACTAGCGCTGTATGAAAAGAAGCTGTCCCGCATAATCGATCATTTGGTTACGAACGCAACCCGCTATTACGAACGTGATTCACTCGTCGCCGATCCAGACTACGGTTCCATTCTGAGCTCCCTGCTAGTGGGACCGTGTGCACTGGATTACTCACGTGCCAAAACTGCTGACCACTTCTGGACCGATCCTCCGGCAGACGAATTGGTTAGTTCAGCTGTTGCATATAACCATACAGACATAATTCTCATCAATTCTCATTTCTTGTAGGTCCAACGACATCGCATCAGTTCGGGAAATCCAACGTCACCGGCCATCCGGAGACCAATGTTGAACTTCAAACGTAGTCTCCACACCAGCTCCGAAGAGGGCAGCATGGCTTCGTTCAAGTCCAACTCGCTGGTATCAGCCTCGAAGGATTACGTGGAGTCATTGCATCAAAATTCCCGTGCAACGCTGCTGTACGGGAAGAACAACGTCCTCGTACTGCCAGTAAGATTGTTCCAACTGTGAAGGTCATTCTAATCGACACCACTTACAGCTTTGTATTTTGTTAACATTATAGAAAGACGTCAGTGAGCCCATGCCCGGCTATCTTAGCCTACATCAGACAATTCAGTCGTTGACTATCAAATGGACACCGAACCAGCTGATGAATGGCTACACCGAATCGGAGAACATCGACAAGAGTTCGTACTGGAGTTACGCCCTGAACGTCAACGTGGATGAAATCGTGTACGTTCACTGCCATCAAGCCCGGGGAGGCGATACGGGTGGTACGATCATTCTGGTCGGACAGGACGGTGTTCAACGTCCGCCGATCCACTTCCCCGAAGGTGGACACATGGCAGCTTTCTTGAGCTGCTTGGAAACAGGTAACATTTCACAACTAGCAATTCGGTTATTGACGGCATTCTGTTGGAATGTGAATCCAGGGTTCCAGGGCAAACAATCTAACAGAGTTCCAAGAGAAATCCGTCCACATAAATTAATGTATTCAAATGCTTCCTGTCAAAGTTGTGGAAGGAGTGGAGGTTTCCAGAAAATTTGAAGCGGGAAATTATTCTTAGGGTTTTATGGGAACTTTCAAATTGAAAATGTTGTGATGATCGAATTCCAGGTCTTCTACCACACGGCCAGTTAGATCCGCCACTTTGGTCTCAGCGTGGCATCGGACGTATCTTCCCGTGGCCCCACAAGTCTCGCCGTAGACCACTGCCGTCGCTGTTAGAAGCGGCCACCAGTGACGAGCTGCCGATCGACTACGTGTTTCGAGTGGTCAACAAGAGCAACACTGACGAATTCTGTTAGTTAAATTTCAATTGAAGGCTGTAACGTTTAGAATTTAATGATTTCCCTTTCATATTGTAGTGGCAAATCATCCGATTCTGGATGTGGGAAGAACTAGTCCACGCTACCGTGCGCAGCTAAGCAGCTGTTCTACCAACGAAAGCAGCGACTGCTCTAGTAAGAGTCTCTCGATCGATGCAATGTCTATCGATAGTCCAAACGTAAGTGTTTCTCGATTAACTGTCTAGATCTAGAACCGTATCTGATTGTTAATTATAGCCGGCTACGAATCAATCCACAAGTATTGCCCTTGTTTGCTCAACGATGAAGAGACAAATCATATCTCGAGCGTTTTACGGTTGGCTAGCTTACTGTCGTCACCTATCTACGGTTCGCACACACCTTTCGGGCTTGGTCAATGGACGTATAACTCCTGATGGTAAGTGTGGTTCCAAAATCAAGCTTACAACGTGTAGAAGACTGTTTTTTTTTCAGTCGGAGCAGAAGAAGGACTTTCAAAGGCACGTTGGGAAGGTTTACACGACGACAAAGGGGTGGTGGCGGACGATCAGGAAGTTTATCGCCTGGTTTACTACGGTGGAGTAGAGCACGACATCCGGAAAGAGGTGTGGCCGTATTTGCTGGGACACTACACTTTCGGAACGACGCCAGAAGAACGCGCGGATTTGGATGAAACTACTAAACACTACTACGAGACTACGATGAGCGAATGGTTGGCCGTTGAAGCTATCGTTCGCCAGAGAGACAAAGAGAAGACTGCGGTTGCAGTCGCCAAGCTAAGTTCGGGTAGTGGCAGCTTGGATAACAAAAGCAAAGATGCCGATGAAGAAGAGATGGATAATGAAGTATTTGAGGAGAATGGTTTTTCGGATATGTCGGAACCGGAAATGGATGATGACGAGGATGCTTCGAAGGCTAAAAAACCAGAGGAACCAGTTGAAGATGCTAAGGAGGAACCAGAGAAAGCTGAGTTGGAGGATGGAGAAAAGATGGGTTCATCGAACAGGCTAGAACTGCCCCTTTCGGATAACAGCAAAGACATGGACAGTAATAAAAGTTCCCCATCGGACTCGTCCTACGCAACAGTGGGTAATGATTTTGTAGACGTGGGCGATATATTGCCAGTTTCGAACAACGAATACGTCCTGCCAAACGACGAGGAAGAAGAGCTGCAAGAACCGACGGAAACGGACGATGACTGTCCGATGCAATCGCCGGGACATCCGCGAGCTGTGATTGTGACTGATGCGTCGATAGACGTGACGATGCTGAATGATGCCAAGGAACCGAACAACAATACACTGGAGGCACTATCGGAGGAGGGAGCTACCAGCCAGTTGGATGCACTGCAGGAACCTAAATCAGCTTGCGTTTCACCGGCTAGCTCGAACGGTGGCATCTACAGTGTAGGTTTTTTTTTTTGTTGAAGTGTTGAGAATACATGGCATTTGATGATGGTGTTTGTTTTGTTTTTGTAGAGCGAGCTATTGGAATCCTTCGGACTGAATCTGCACCGCATTGAGAAGGACGTTCAACGATGCGATCGCAATTATTGGTACTTTGCAAATGAAAATTTGGACAAGTTGCGGAACGTCATATGCACGTGAGTATTTGTTTTGTGCATTGTCATGTTGGCTGCGAATAGTTTTTTTTTTCCATTTACCGGCCATTTTTTTCTTCCCTGGAAATGGGAAACAGGGGATGGCTCTTCTCGGGAATCCGGAAATATTTTAATTCATAAAAACGCGGTAAAACAAAAGTACCCAGCGGCCAGTTCACCTTTACTTACTTTTGACTAGTTTGTCTCCCTTACTCCTTCTAATGTTGTCAAAAACGGAGGAGCAAAAGCATCCAACAGCGGTAGTTAAGTGTGGGAACCCAACGTTGAGTACAATCATGATTACCGACTTTTGGGTACAACTTACTTCTTTTGGTTAGAATGGGGATTCCCAGATTCTAAGCTTAGATTTTAAGTTGGATGTAAATACCCCACAAAATGGTCCAGGCCCGATGGAATCCGTTAAAGAGCCAATTCTTGCTAATGAAACGGCTTTTTCATTACCTTCTATACTACAGTCACAGACAAACAGACATAACACATTGAATATTTCTCACTGTAAAACATCGTCGTTAAAACATTACCGCCATCTGTTGAGTACACTGTGGTGGGTAGTACGCTGAACATATGGCGGTAGTGTGGAAACGTCAAACGCAAGGGAATTGACTATGCGCGCCACAGGTGGCAGTACTACCAACTAAGATACTTTTAAATTGACCGATAAATGCTTGTTCGATGAACATATTGCGAGTGTTATGTCTGTGCTACAGTGATTAGGTACCCAGTATAGGTTAACACTATTAGTTGTAGCCAGCTGTTTCAAGGAGAGGATTCACTCCCAAACTAGCATCGACTATCATGTGTATGCTTTTAAAGCATTCAGTGCTGCTTGACTATCAGAGAAAATACAGATCTTTTTCATTCCTTTATTTAGTTAGTCAAACAAATATTTGTACATGTTAAAATAGCATGTATTTCTGCCTGGAGAATTGTAGGCCAATGTCCCATTGAAATTGGGATGTTGATTCCTGGGCCTGTGATCCCAGCTGCGGTAGATTTCCCCATTTTGGAGCCATCGGTGTAAAACACGTGTGATCCTGGACGAATTTTAGGACCGCCTTCTTCCCATATGATGCGATTGGATTCAATTACTTCAAGGGGAACATTAAAGTTAGTCTTGGCCTCCATCCAGTCTTCATTCATGGTTAGTTGAAAATCCCTGAGGATTCGTAGATATCCATCTTGAAAACGTTTTACATGTTTCAGCCTTAGAGCACCTTTTTCTGCTTCAAGTTGCACGAATTGATGTAGCGGCAAAATATGTAAAAGAGCCTGGAGTCATTGCTCCAGTTATTGACGAGCAGACCTGTTGTTGTAATTTTCCAAGGTTTTTTGGGCTGAAATTTGTCTACTTTTAGGCCACCACACTAACGAAGCATATGTAATTCTGGGTCTCACGATCGCCGTGTAAATCCAGTAAATCATCCTTGGTTTTCCCCCACTTTTTACCAAATGTATTGCTGCAAGCCCAAAGAGCATTATTTGCTTTTGAGATCGCGTACTCTAGATGGTCGTTCCAATTTACCTTATGGTCAAGTATAACACCTAAATATTTAGTTTGCTTAGATAGCTCCAATTGTACTCCTCCCAACTGAAGATTTGCAATAGTATGGTATAACAACTGTTTTAGAAGGATTGACTCTGAGCCCCTCCAAATTACACCATTCGGGTGAAACCACAGTATAGCAGAGAGAACTCCAACTTGAGGGCAACCTCTTGTTGGTTTCGCCGGTTAAGAAGATCCTCCTAATTTGGCTGTTATAATACGGTTGGTTAGCATAGCATGTATCCTTGGGGCGAAACATCCATACCTCTCACGCCATAGTCACAAGTTCAAATCTCAACCCCGGACAAGTCACGAATGACCCAAGAGTGTTACTGCCCACTCAACCCTAGACTCAGTAAAGGTAACACTAGCTATTTTGAGAGCTCTATGCACGTTCCTATTTGAAATGGACTGAACTGCTGCGCAGTTCTGTGCATTATCATAAGTCATTTGTATTGAGCCTGCGAAGTGCGTAAGTGACACTAAGTGGTTGTATAAATTACATTATCGTTTTCTAGACTACGAAGTCCATTTGTGTGATCTTTTGAGAGGGATTGTGAAGCCTAGCTACAATAGGCAAACATTCAATTTGCTCACATGTAAGCTTCCAATCCCTTCTTTTAGATTTACGAATGTCTCTATTATATTCTGTTAGAGATTGTCTGTAATTAAGGAACGTTCATCAATGAAAGTAGACACCTGCTTCTCAAAGGAAGATATTTATTTTCGAACAAATTCATAAGTTTATTTTATAATAATGAAAATCAACATACATATGACCGATTTCACGGGAGTTTGAATGTTTACTTCTCATTTCTGAAGAACGCTCTGACTTTTCTCTTGATACCTTGCCCATTAGATTCTGCACAACTTTTTTCTTAACTTTTCGTTGTGCTGCAGACCAAATTTTCTTGAAGCAGTCAACAGAGCTTGCTTCTCTTCCATCTTTCTTAAGATGCCGTTAAATTATTGCCAAGTATCTTTCGATAGGACGCAGTTCAGGGCAGTTTGGGGGATTTTGGAGTTTTTCGACGAAATCGACTTTTTTCTTCTTGAGCATCTCCAACGTTGCAGAAGCATAGTGAGCCAAAACAATGGACCTTTATGCTTTTGGTAGATGGGTAGAAGCCTTTTTTTGATGCATTATTTTCTGTAATTTTCACCATTGATTGTGCCCGTTGTGAAATACGAAGAACTCTTCAAGCCACATGAGAAATGGCTTGCCCCGCCAAAACCTTTTTTCCAATTTTTTCGGTTCGGATGTATCACACATCATCAGACACATCTGTCCTCTGCTCAGCATTGAAAAATTGCGGCCCGGGAAGTGTACTGGTATCCAATTTGACATACGTCTCGTCGTCCATCAAAATGCTCCGGTTCGGCTTTTGAAGGAGAACGTCATACAAGTTCCGTGACCGTATTTTCGAAGAAGCGTTCTTTGATTCCGTCCTTTTGGGTGCTTTTTGCTTCTTGTAGGTTCTGATATTGTTACGTTTTTTGATATTCTGCATAGTTCCGACGCTAATGTCCAATTTTTTTTTGGCAATTTCACGAACGGAACACGGTTTATGGGATTTCAAAAGGCGTAGGAAGCTGTCAGCTCCTATTTCTGGTCCGATGCCCCTTTTTGCGCCCAGATTTCAATAAATCTTCAAGAGAACAAGTATCTCCAAACTTCTTAACAATTTTGAACACTGTAGATTTACTACACTTCACGCTTTTTGCCAATTCTCGAAACGACAACTTTACGGAAAACCATTTGTGCAGATATAATCTGCGAGTTGATAAGCTGATCCGACCCATCGTTCGAAATTTCTCACTTATAAACAAACAATGTTTTTACACACTGAGCGAAAATTCACAATTTTTCGTTACGTTTTAACCCTAAACCATTGATAATCAGGTGTACACTTTCTTTAATGAACAGTCCTTAGTCCAATTATAAGAAGCTTTGGCTTTGTTAAAAAGTTTTCTAGTTAACTTTCTAAGTCTTCAAGCATTTTGTTCCACCAAGACGCATCCTTACATGAAGTTTTCCGTTTCAGTGAACAACTTTCTTCGAAAGCTGTCGTAATATTGGCAATAAATGTTGATGAAGCAAATTCTACACTGAAAATAAAATTTCGTTAATACAACGAAATCGGTCGTTTGTTCTACGAATTTTTTCGTTGTTTTCTGCAACGAAATGGATTTGTACATTGTATGAAGCTAGTTTCGTTAGAACTGTCACACTCGCTATCGCTACACCCAACCAGCGGGCCACAAATGTTGGTTGGTGAAACCGAAAAATGTGGAGTGTGCTAGTGAGGATGGGTAATAATCACTATCATTGTAAGGAATAAACATGACAAAAAATAAAAATATGCTTAAGACCGGACTCGAATCTTGAATCTTTTAATCGTCAGATCTGTGCTTTATCCATTGCTCTGTTTGTGCTACGAGTAATGGTAAAGCTGGAGGCAAATGAGAAGCACTCATCGAACGGTAATTCGAATTCGTTTGCTTTTTCTGCTGCTTGCATGTATCTTTGACATAAAACCACCGCGACCAGTAATTTGATTTATTGTGGTAGCTTGCATGTATCGGTCAAACCGACAATATTTCAAAAATAAAGTATCCCATCTTCAACACACAATCAGCTTTTTAGGAGACAATAAGCGCAGTTGTTGGTTTGATTGTACGAAAATGAATTTGTATATTATACGTATAAGGCGTAATATTGACATTGCGCCAGACGACAGAAAAAACGAATGTTTCGTATCATTTATGAAAGATGTGTTGTATGTACGATATTCATTTCTACGAAACGGTTTTTAGAGAAATAACGAAAATACATTTCAGTGTAGCTACTCAGTAGATGTGATATTATCCACTAGCATGAAATCCTCTTTCAAAAGTTTGGAGTAGTAACTATCCCAATTTGTTTTTATTGGATCTCTAAACTATTCGGTTACAAGAACACCAGAGTTATACTTAAACATTATATGTTTATGATCAGATATTGATGATTCATTTGACACATGTTAATTGTCTTTCATATCATATGATTTTAAGCTATACAGTGATAGATCAAGTACTTCTTGTCTAATTGAATTAAAAAATGTAGGATAATTTCCTTGATTACAAATGTTGATGCTATTAGATATTAAATATTGGAGTAAACAGTCATCTCTAACATTGTTGTTTGTGCTACCCCAGACAGACTACAGGGTGCGTGACGAATTTTTGCAGTAAATGGCATATTTGAGAAAAAATACACCAGTTAGTTATTCTAGCAATGAATTTTGTGCGATTTATTTTCTTTCGCAACACATGGAAGTTGTAAGTAAATTTATTCAAAAAAATTGCCTTCCCTTTCGACGACTGTAGTTAGACGCTTCCGGAAACTGCAGTATGCACGTTTTAAAATGTTTCGATCCATAGATGTCATCACTGCCTT